AAATAAAATATTACAATGATTTTACAGTACGTTAATAACGGAAATTTACGAGAATATCTAAAAGCAAACTTAAGATTACAATGGACAAATAAGCTACGTATTGCTATGGAAATAGCATTCAGTCTTTTATTCTTGCGCGATTATTATAATCAAATTTGAATCGTCTCATTAAGATCCAATAGTGGTCACAAATATCTTTAAAATTTTAAAAATTTATATTAATTTTTATATATAAAACTTATTATGAACTTACAAATCTAAGTTACAAAATTGAAGCCAAGTTCCAAAGCAAGTTTCAAGGTTCCGTACCTAAAATTTTACCATCCCCAAACAACACTACGTCAATCGATGATGTAGTCGCATTTAAAAATCGTGAAACTCATATATTCACAGAAAATTAAAAGAAATTATAATTGCCACATTAGCAGATTAGGGTGGTAATACGCTTAACTTTAGTCGTTAAAAGAAAGTTACATTTATACAATATTTTTCACCATTGCTAATTTAACCCTCTACATGTAGTTATTTTCATTTTTCGGGCCCTTACATGTAAATTCACATAATTTTTATTGCTAGATTAACCCTGTCGCTTCTGGTTCGCTAAAAATAAAGTTAATTATTAATTTTAATGTTAAATATTTCAATTTCTTCAGCAATAAAAGATGAAAGTCCCAACATCGAACAGGTCCCGTTCTGTCCAAAAAATTTCAAACGACCACGTCCGAAATCTACCGATGATGCATTATACTGAATTTGAAATTCTATATTACAAGATTCATGAAGATTAGAGTCTTTTCCATTTCTAAAACAAGCGACAAACCCTTCAGCTCTGTCATTTCTACCAAAACTTTATATTTATTGTAAATGAGTTAATGATATCCATTCAATTTATAATTCATACACAATCATATAAAAATATTTACTTAAAATCGGAATAAATAAAATTCTTAATGTATCCACCAATTATAATATCTGAATCTTTAACCTTAATTAGCAAAACTTTTGAACTACTTTTAAGCTTGGCGATAAGTTCATTTGAATTAAATCTATCGCGGGTCGCCACTCGATGGCTAAGTATAACCTCGGAAGGTTTTTTGATGAGGGTTGTTTCCATGATCCATTTGAATATGTCTTGAGCATTTCCCTTTTTGATTATGATAGAGTCGATTTTGATACGTGATTGCAACTTAACATGTTGTGGTTTAATATCAGCAAGAAAATAACCTTTTAAATCTTTATAAAGATCTTTTGACAATACTTTTTTAAAAGGCATAACATGATGATAAAATTCAGCCCGTGAAATTTCACAAAATCGAACATGAGGTATAAATGGATCTATATATTTTTTAAATGTTGAAAATTCATTTTCTCCCAAATTATTAATATCCGTATTGACAAATTTTTCTTTTGATAAAGAAATAAATTTAGCCATTCCCCATTTCATTAAATATTTCCAAACATTGATTTCCTCGATAATTAAATTGTCTCTCTCAATAAGTTCCAAAAAAAGATAATTTTCTAATCTTGGAAAGTCCTCTAACTCAAATAATAACGTTTCTGGATCCAAGCAAATATTATCCATGATATAAGTTTTGAGTTTATTGCATTTTTCGAGGCTGGCGGTATCCCATAAAAACACAAATATATTTTCTTTAAGCCAAGAGAGTTCTTTTTCACCAATAAATTTTATAATACTATCTTGAATTTTCTCACATCTTTTCAGTTCAATGATATTGAACAAAATTTTAACTAAATTTTCTTTAAGCCAAGATGGTTTGATTTCAATAAGCTGGATAAATATTTAATTTTTTATCGTATAATATCAAATTTAAAATCAGAAATGATATATGTCAAGTAGACTTACATGTTCTGAAATGCGGTTAATCAATCCATCAAGAGCCAACTCATCAGCAACATCAAGAAGATCATAAAGATCAGAATCCGAATTTATTGACAGGTTGAGAGTATTCGTAATGTAATCTTGAATTTCTTTACAACGTTGAATCTTGAAGACAGTAGGTATAATCATAACAAGGTTTTCTCTAATCCAATTAAGCTCATTACTAATGAGCTATATTATATAATATATAATTTTTGTCATTTTTTATACACATAAGTTTTGCAATTATATCAAAATGATTTTTAACGCATCTAGTAGCCTTACATATTTTTGTACGTGACCGAATAAACGATCAAGCAATAATTCATCAGCGGCGATAAGAAGAGCGAAAATATTGGAACCAGGTTGATCTTTTAAGTCAAGAATTCCTGTATAAATATATCTTTTAAATTACATAATTAGTGAAAGATGTTAGTTATTATATATATATAAATTCACGTAACCTCATATATACCGTAAAATTAAATGAAATACAGCTGGTGAGATATTCGGCTTTGGAAAATAATAAATATTTTCTTTATTTTTCATCCATTTATCGGATAAAGCAACTTTGAAATAAGGGGATCTAGCACGTAAAATAACAGAGTGAGCTTTAAATTCTTTAAATTCTGGTTCTTTACCAGCTTGAATAATAACATCATAATCATCTGAGTCTTCTAAAATATTTGAAAGTTCATTAGAAAGATCATCAAAAAATTTAGTAAAAGTCATTATTTCAAAAAATGAGAGGTGAATTGTCAAATTAACAAAATTAGCAACAATAACATTGGAAAATGATTTGCGTACATCGGTTTCGTGTAACTTCACGTACATCAATTTTTTTGGCAAATGAAACCGAAATTTTCGAATTTTAGAGGCGCAGCAATTTTTATTGGCTAAAAAAATTTGATATGTTTATGATGATTTAACCAAAAATTAGTAACGTAAGCCTAATCGTATTATTACTTGCGAAAAGCCTTTAGCCAATATTGTCACGTATATGACGGTAACCGAAGTAAAAGCGACGATCAAAAGCTTAAAATAACTTTACAGAATAATGACAATAATAGAGTGAAATAAACTACGTAATTAGTAATAGCGCCATTATTAGAGTATAGAATGTAAGGATATAAATAAGAAATGTAAAGGGAAAGATCTAGAGATGAGTATTAGCTTAGAATATCGAATAATTTCTGGATACATGGGTATTCGGCAGGATGTTAGTGGCCGAATGCCACGTGCGTTGCTTTCATCCTGCCGAATACCCATGTATCCATCACATCATGCCAGATAACTAGTTTATCCAGCAGGTATGACGTATGGATACACTGACGGAACCATATTATTGCCCAAATAAACTTTTTAATTACCGTATTCCGTTCGCCAAGGTACCCGTGTGATGCAATTTTTTTACAATTGAAAAATTTTTGAATCACATCACACGATGAATAAATAATATTTTAAAAATTAATATACATTATTTGTCACGCCGGGTACTTTGGCGAACGGAATATAGAGAAGTATACAATTACAAAAAATTATTGTAAGCATACCCGAAGTCATTGAGCTTGAAGACTTTCTTTGTAAAGAATATAAAGCTCATACAATAATTCTAATGAAGATCAAAAAATTCAGGATACGGCTTTATTAATTTCACTCGATTATAATGATATCCCTTAAACTGTTTTCCAGGCAAATTTGCCTGGAAGTTTTAAATTATTTGATAAATAATATCATCATTTAATAATAAAATTTTTCCAGGCAAATTTGCCTGGAAAACAGTAGACATTACATAGGATCGCCGATCTTAAACATTTATATCAACTTTTTATTTCAAATGATTGGTCAGATTCTTCCAATTTTAATCACTTGATCACAAATTAGCATTGACGTACGTTGTACATACTGTACAGTACATATGCATGTATGTACTTACCAAATATTTATGTACATTAGTGTTCAAAGACAAGCCGGCTTATCACGGCTTGCTGCGGCTTAATGCGGCTTATCACGTGATAAATTCGAATT